TGACCCACTCCTGTGGCAGAGACTGTTGACTGGCTTCAGGCTGCTGGCGGGGCTTCTTGAGTGACAACGGCCATTGAGGCGGACTCCGTCTCAGAAGTCATCCCCTGCCCAATGGGCCTCAGGACACTGTGAGCTCTGAAGGTTGTGTCTGCAAAATCTAAAACATCAGATGGCCAGGCAGCGCAGCAACCCAGGACATACCTGGATCTTCCGATCTTCCTTCTTAAATCGAAAGGGGACAGAGAAAGACTCTGTCCCCAGGACACCTGAATCTCAGCCTTTTGCAGAATACCCAGGACCAGTCTTTCTTCGCTCCATTTCCCCTGATTCCTTTCTCCCAGAACACAGCAACTCAGCTCTTCCTCTGTGTACACACACATAAATGAATTCATACATACACATGTACCTGTGCATACATGCATATATACAAATTCACTCATGAACACACACATGTGCTCATGCATGCATTCACACATATACATATCCATTCAGGCCTTTACAAATACATACATACATACATACATTCACATATATACTCATACATGTATGCATGCATTCACACATATACATATCCATTCAGGCCTTTACAAATACATACATACATACATACATTCACATATATACTCATACATGTATGCATGCATTCACACATATACATATTCATTCATGCACTCATGCATACAAACATACATTCATAAATATACCTGTATTCATACATACACATACATACATTTATGCATCCATACCTACATATATATTCAGCAAAGCACACATATATTCATGTATACATGCATATACATGCACATACATTCATATAATACACATATTCACTAACATGTACATATTCATTCATGCATACATACATGCATTCATAGATATACACATTCATGCACACACATGCATATATTCTTAAATATACCCATGCATTCATATATACATTCATTCATGCACTCATGCATAAATACATGCATTCACAAATACACACAATGCATTCATGAACACATGTACATTTATTTGTGGACATGTGAACATATACCTGTATTTGTATATATGTGCACTTATTTGTACACTCATGCATGCATATGTACATTCATACATACATACATGTATTCATGAACATATGCACACATGTATCCATACCCTCACACACAGAACTAGGTTTCTTCCTAGCTTTCTGTTCCATGGTCACAATTGTTGATGCTTAGCAAAAGCTGCTGTCTCAATGTCTGTGTCCCCCCAGCATACATGCGTGAAACCTAACCCTGATACAAAAGCAGCAACAAGTAGGGCCTTTGGGGTGTGGCTAGGTCACTGGGGCCTTCCCTGCCAGAGAGATCCCGCTTTCATTGTCCAGGGACCTTGTGCATAAGGAGAAAACTTTACCGGAAGCAAATCTGCCTCACACTGATGTGAGTCTCCCAGCCTCGAGAGCTGAGTACTATTGTTTACAAATTGCCCACTCCATGTTGTCTTGTTAGAGCAATGGACTAAGTCAAAAGCTAACGCTGGGCTCCCTGTGGTTTGAAACACTTGACACTCAGCCCTCACACATCTTAAAAGGGTACTGCTGCTGTTCTCTGCACTCCAGGCGGGGAAACTGAGGCACCGGGGTCAGGGGAGCAACCTGTCAAAATCCATGCAGCTAGCAGGGAGCAAAGCTGACCCCAACTGCAGAGGGTAGGCTTAAACCAGCTCCCCACATCACCCGCCCCGGCTTGCCCATGATTAGCAGGCACGTGTGGCGCGTGCTCTAGTCCCTAATGAGCACGCACCGCGCCCCAGCTAGAGCAGGCTCCTCTCAGATCAAGTGCTCAGTGTGCTGAAGAGCCAGAGAAGACTCGAGGTCGTTTTGAAGGCGGGCCGGCTTCTTTAAGTACTCGAAGGCAAAAAGAATCGCATTCCTCTTGACTTTTTATTTAGAGAATAATCAAGAAACTTTTCCTCCTTCTCTCTCACTGAATACAATTTGTCTTTATCAAACCAGAGAAGAATGTAAGTCTGGCTAGAAGTTTCTCACAAAGCCTGTCGAGATGAAAGGTGCCATAATAGATACACAAAGCAGTCGCTTTTTATCTGTGGAGAGCTGGCTTCATATGATCCTTTCATAAGAGTGAAAAAAAATAAGATATTGTGTTTATGTGGCGCATACATTTGTCTGCATCACAAAAAGTGGGGGGGGAGTGTGACCATCCACCAGACACCTAGATCCTTCCCTGTTCGCATTCGGCTCTGCCCAGGCGTCTCACAATAGTGAAAAACCTGCTTTTTAAACACCCGGAGTTTAGACCAAGTGGCCAATTTAGGCACAAAGCAACTACATTTGTTATCTGTCCTAAACAGGAGCCCACCCCATGCTTCCCACTCAGCTAAAGAAAGGGAACGCTGAAATTTTAGTAAGTAGGACAATTGATGGTACCTGGCTTTGTGTCAAGCAAAAAGCTAGCCTCCACGCTGGAAAGTCCTGACCTTGAAAAGCTGGTTAAATGAACGCTGTACGGGGCTGCCGGCTGGAGAGCCAGCCAGGAAGTAGGTCAGCAGAGCTGTAGGCTCCTGTCACTCCCAGTCTGAGCTTGCACAATTCAGAGTAGAGGAAAATGTTCTCAGATGAGAGGAGAGACGATGTGCAGTTCGGGGCAGCATGTCATACTGACAGACCGTCTCCACCAGAGGAAATCATCCCCAGAGGCTGCCCACAGGCAGGGGGCTATTTGCTGCTGGTCCTTTAATTGATTAAGGTCACCTTGTTTTTTCAGGGCACTTAATTTTATGTGTGTGTGTGTGTGTGTGTGTGTGTGTGTGTGTGTGTGTGTGTGTGACACATATGTGCAAGTATGTGCCTGAAGAGGGTTTGGGATGCCCTGGAGCTAGCTAGAGTTGTGGGCAAATACAATCTGCCCAGCCTGGGTTCTGGGAAACGAATTCATGTTCTCTGGAAGAACAGTAAGAACTCTTACCCACTGAACTCTCTCTCCAGTCCCTCTGGTTTTTCAGTTTATTTGTTTATTGTTGCTTTAAGCTTCCAAGCAGAGAAACCAATGTTACTGTCTGCTTTCTCTGAACCTCACCACACTGTCCCCTCTTACAGGCTGCCTGCCAGGCACTTAATGGCCCTGGCCTGAGTGATAGACAAAACAGCCTAATAAGAATGGACAGATTTTCAGAGACTTAGGAACAGCACACTCTCTTGGTGTTGGAAATGCCAAGCTCGGGAGCATTCATCCATCCACCCACCCATGTTTCTTGGCTCTAGGAGGGGAGTGTCAGGGGCAGTCTAGGACTAACACTTCTGGAGTTCCCAGGACTCACCTACTGTGTGGCTTGTCTCCCTTTCCTGAGCTGTGAACTGGGGCGCCATATGCACTTACTCTGTGGGGTTCTGCTCCACATTTAACAGGGAGGCCTTTGAATGGGCTTAATCCAAGGTCAGCCACACCAGACACACACAAGCAAACCAACCTACAGACAAAGAAATCCCAACCACGGAGCCAAAGCCCAAAGGAGGAAGGAAAGGTCCAAATGGCCCGTGGCACTAACCCTGCAGGGATGAATCTAAAGGAACAAATGCTTTGAGTTCACGCTGCTTCCTCCCGCTACTTCTCCATACACCCCCTGCGCCGAAACCAGAAGACCGCAGAGAGCCAGGAAGAATCTTTCATACTCCACATGGAGCATATCATGGGCACCAAGAGATAGAGAAGAGGAGAGGAGGGACAAATGGGAGGCTTGGAGTACCAAGAATTTGATGAGGCAGTGTTGAGTGCTCAGCACTGTACTTAGAACACACATCCAATGTATGTTCACAGTACCACATGGTTACTCATCACTGGCACTGTGTTAGGTGATCTTAGAGGGAACAATGGCAGAAAAGGACCCCTCAGCCTCTGCAGGTGAATCTAGGATCTAGTCATCAGAGACCTGCCACCAACTCTAAAGCCTTGGGCAACGCCCTTCCCCCCAATCTGGCCTTTTGTTTCCGGTTAAATTAGGGGATTGTGGGATGAGATGAGTTTAGGATTTTTTTTTCAGTATAGTGTGCCCTGCTCTAAAGCTGATTGACAGTCAGCCCCTGAAGTAATTTCAATTGGTCTCAACTTTGTTGTGTCGATCCAAAGATGAACTGCTGGGTTTGGACAGCATCACAGGAATGGCCGGTGCCTGATTCAGCCATAGAGCCTCCCCTACCCTGTTCCAGGGATTCTCCCAAGACTGATGTCACAGTGTCACACCTACTTTGTTCTAGGAGGGAGCCAGGTCACAAAGTGGGAGCCAGTGGCCTGAATGCCTTTAATGTTCTATCAGTCCCTTCCACTGGAGAGCTCATCATCCACTCTTGACATCTACTCCATTTCAAAGAAAAAAGTTCTGCCCCAAGATGCTTTTTAGGAACACTTTACATATGTCCCCAACGTGAAGAATAACTAAGGTCAGGTGGCTCATCAGCCTCTGTAGAAGCAGAGGTCTCCCTGGAGAAGCCAAAGGCTCCAAAGACGACTCCGGAAGACCCTAACACACAGCATCCCCCAGACATTTCTCCAGACGTGTTTAGTTCCTCTGCAGAGTCTCCCCTTCCCTCCTGTATGCCGAACCAGAAGTCCCTAACTAAGAGTCGTGGGAGACCATACAATAATAATAGACCCTAGGAGGAGCTCAACTAATTAGAAGCCCTTTCATGCACACCGTTTCCTTCCACCTCAGCAAAGCTTGTGGGCCTCCAAATTCACACCAGGGCGAGCAAACCCAGCCAGGTCTGGAGCTTCTTTTATGTTTACCCAAACTCTGCATTGCCCACGTAACTGCTTCTCAGAGAGTACAGGGTAGGGACCAGTGGATTTGGTTGTGTTGTGTTGATTTAAAAAAAAAAAAAATTATTATTTATATTAATGGCCACCATCTCCCTTTCTTCTTAACACTGTCTGGAATTGTCCCCGTTGACTTATACATTGTCTACCTTCGCCCCTACAGTGCCGTGGCAGCTGCCCAAAATGAAGGGTTCACAGTACCTGTCACCTTCATGGCTATGACCCCCAGTACCTGGTCCGCCATCTGACATTCAAAATGCACGCAGCGCATCTGCCAAGCGAAACTCCGAATCTTCCGTTCCTTGAGGTCGTTTTTTCCCTAACTAGGTTTCAAGGCACCCAAAGCTAAAAATAACCCAGTTTTGAGTCAGCACCTGGCAAATGTCCAGGTTACTTTTAGCTTCAGAGGTTAAGGGAAGAAAAGTGGGCCAGATGAACGTGGAGCAAATGCCTGGCCGTGCATCCCTGTGCAGAGAATGTTAAAGGGCCGTGCGCAATGGTTATTGACAAATGGCTCCACTTACTTTCCCGGGAGCCCCACCCTTAACAGCCAGCATTTCTAGAAGTCTGTGATTCTTTCCCACAAGGCGGGGAGCTCTCAAGGGCTGCACCTTACTCATCTTGTTTCTCTAGCAGTTAGAAGTGGACCTGGATCAACCAGGCCCCGAAGGAAAAAAAAAATGGGGTGAATGCTGTTGGTCAGCAATGGTGGCCAAAGCAACAGAGTATGGATGGGATTGTCATATGTTAAAATGTAGAAAGACTCCCACAGCCACCTGCTAGGGTTTTCATGGTTTCCACCGAAGGTTCGTGAACTGGAAGCAGAACCTTCAAGAGGCAGAGCCTCACGGGGGATGAATATGCCACTAGGGTACCACCCTTGGAACGGATTAATGGCCATCTCATCGGGGTAGGTTAGGTCTACCCAGCCTGGATGGGTTAAAGCAAATTCGAGTTGTTACAAAGGCAGACCTTCCTTTTGCAATTACTTCTCTTGTTTCTGCTTTCATGTGTTCCTTCTCTACAAAGCCACTTAGCCATCATATTGTGACACAGAGCAGCCAGGGGTTCACTCCAGCTGCCAGGACCATGCTCTTTGAACTGTCCTAACACCAGCATCAAAGACCAAATAAACCTCTATTCTTAAAATACCCAGCTTCAGGGATCTTATTGTACCAACACGCAAAATCTATCATTTGAATATGTTAGCCATTATCCACGTGCAGCTGTTTAAATGTAAGTCAAAATTAACTGGAATTAAATAAAATTAAAATTATATTCATCAGGTGCACTAGATACTTTTCCAGCACTCGTGGCTGCCCTATTTCAAGTCACAGATACATTAGCTTCTTGGACTTGGGGTTAAGATCATCTGTGCCACTCAGCTTACCTCCTCCTGACGCTGAAGTTTCTGCAGAAGGCTCTAGAATCTGATCATTAGGGGCCAACTACCAACTCGGGGACGTTAAACAACTACATGGGACTCTAGGGGAATGAGGTGACAAGATCACTGACTAGTGAGTCCCCCAGATGGCCTATGACGCCTTTCCTCATCTCATATGGAAAGAAGGGGATCTCAGGGAGACAAAATAATTTCCCCTAAGCGACCCACTATGCAAGAGCCAGAATCTCCTAGTTACTGTCTGGTATGTTTTAATCATAAACTTCACTCAAAACCTGAGAGTGCCTCACATCCAAGAGGGCAGAGCATCCTTTTCTTTCATGTTGGTGTGGTTTGGAGAGCTGGCAAGAAATCCTAGATGCACTTAGAGAATAAATGTAAGACCCATCAAGCAAAGGATGGGAAAGCCTAGCTTCCCACAGAAAGCTGGAGGCCAAGAGATCTGAAGAATGCCCAAATGTGGGTTGCCTTTTTTTTTTTTTTTTTTAAGCTTTTCAAAATTGTTTTCATTTCGATGTTGGAGGTTAATACCCAAGATGGACACTCTTTTTGAAGAGTCCCTTTTGATTTTAATTTCTTAAAGTCCTCATTTGAACTCCCTTTTTGTTTATATTATACCCATCCACAATTTTCCTTTCTTTCCAGGTAACCTGATCCCCGAAAATGTGCAGAATCCATTCGTGCCCACTGCTTTTAATTAAACATCAACTCATTCTTTCAACTGGGTCTTTGAGGGTTTCTGCGTTGTCTTCTCTAGATGCATTTGTCTTTTCCTGAAATTACATCAAATCAAGTTCTCAAAAATGCATTTCTTAATCTTTAAATAGCTTGGAATGAATTTTGGCAGCATCTCAAGAAAACCTATAAAAGGGAAGAAGCCAGCTCTACCCATCTCCCTCCCAAGTAGAAGCCAGGCATGGGCGGTGTGTTGGGGCCTGCACACAGATTTCACAGCATCAGACCGAACCCTGCAAACCCCAGGCTCCAGATTCCATAGTTAAAAGAAGCCTGCATATATCATCCAGGAGTACTACATTTGTTCTGTTACTTTCACTAAAGCAGCGCTGTGAGAAGAGGTGTCGGGGAACCAGCAGCTGCCCCGGACCCCTAGACTTCCAATAGAAGCATTTGCCACTCAGCAGTCACCCTAGTGCATGCTGGGAACTCGGGCTCCAGGAGTCAGGGTGGTCAACAACAGGCCTGAGATCTGTGGGTGGGGAGATCTGCGTGGAAGGTTCTCCTTCTCCCAGACAGACCAAGGAGGCTGCAGATATCTTTGGAATCTGTGGAGGAGACCCTCCTGAGGGGCCAATGGGGAGGGGGGTCGTTTAGGAAAATTCCACTGATGTGTATGACTTCTTTCTGGCATGTCTCCTAGGGTTTCTGAAGATTCCATTATCCTTATAAGCGAAAGTCTTCAGATGACTGCAAGAAGGTGCTTATTGAAACCTATAGCTCTCCATCCCTCAGCAGGCTTTGATTTAAAACATTCAAAACACATCCAACGGCCTCTTCTTCCCTGAAGACGGGGGGCTTTAATGTTTAAAAAAGACAGAAAAAAAAAAACCAGGTCTCTTTACTCCAGCCAGCTCCCTCCTCTTAAGGAAAAAATGTTGCCTAAAAAAACGAAGGTATTGATGTTAAACTACGGTACAACTTTTAAATTTTAAGTCCTGTTCTTTGTTCCTAATGAACAAAGAAACATGAGTCCCACAACCCGGAGCCAGATGAGCACATGACTCCCAAGTAAGGGCCAGCGTTGCAAGTCAGGCCTACTCCTTTCTAAGTGCCAACAAGGAAACTGGGGTCCAGAGAGGTTAAAGAATTTTAACAGGCAGCAGGTGGTGAAACCTGGGCCAGGTGTCCACACTCCACAAAAGGAGGAAAAAAAAACCCAAAACATTCTTCACTTTGAGTAAGGCGAGAATGACTTGAAGGTGGGAGGCGAACACAGGCCCCTTGCATCCCACATCTCAGCCGTGGGTGCGTACAATCAGTGGCACACCACCCGACTAGGAAAGCAAAATGAGTTAACACACTGGAGAGTGTGTCCTTTGTGTCTCTTGACCAGTGAGATGGAAGTCTCCCGTCTGCTTCACAGAGTCTGGAAGGTTCTGGAACCACATGGTGTTTCTAATCCAGGGGGTCTTGCAGGAGCCTGAGGGGCCCGGCATCTCCCAGAGTTACCTATATAATGAGGGCACCTATAAGTAACACCTGACCCTTCAGCCCTTCTCCATTTCTTACAGTGGTGTGTCCAACAGGCACAGACCATGAAGACTCTTCTCTCCCTGCCCCACCCCCAGAATAGGCAAGGATTAAGGACTGCTATGCTGACACAGCATCTTTTGAAATTACCTTGAATGGGGGAGTGTGTTCATGTTTCACCTTTCCATAGGTCCCGTTTGAATACACCTTTGCTTTCCACAGCCACGCCTGGGGCTCCTCTTTTCAAGACTTCCCTGGCGCTAGTGGGGCACTTCCTATACACACAGCCCTTCAGGAGGGCCTGGGGATTCATCTCTCCCTAGGCCTTTGAAGCTTCAGAGTCTCTGTGTGTGTGTCTCTGTGTCTCTCTCTGTCTCTGTCTCTCTCTCTCTCTCTCTCTCTCTCTCTCTCTCTCTCTCTCTCTCTCTCTCTCTCTCTCGATCTTATGCTGACCACTCTGTTGTGTTCCTTCTCTCTGAGAAACATCACTCCCAGGGTCCCTTTGCCTGAGATTTCATACTTAGCTCACCTCTGGCCCTTTCCTGACTCACGTGATGAAACAAATTCTCCTTTTTCCATAGGTTTCTAGGGAACCGGGTCTAGGACTAGGACTCTGTGTCTCTGCTGCCCTTTGCAGCTGGTGTACAATATACAGTCATGTTTTGGGAAGAGGTCCAGGACTTCCGAGAACAGGGCAGGGTGGGGAGACAGTTTAGTCAGTAAAGTATTTGTTGTGCAAGCAAGTGGACCTGAGTTCAGATTCTCAGCACTTGCATTAAAAAGCCAGGCACAGTGGTGTCTACAACCTAGGGCTGGGAAAGCAGAAACATGAGGATCATGGAGGTGGGTGGGGCAGATCAATCAGCCTGGGCAAACCAGTGAGTTCTAGGGTTCAGTGAGAGAGCCAGTCTCAGAAACAAAATGGAGAATGGTTGAGGAAGAAACCCGGTGTCAGGATGTGACATCCATACACACATGTATACACCTGTACATATACAAATGCACATATACAAACGCATGTACACATGCAGCACTTCTGCAGCCTTAATTGCACATTTTGTTCCTTTGCACTAACTTGGAGTACTTTCCCACTTACTCTTTTTTTTTTTTTTTTTTTTTTTTTTTTTTTTTTTTTTCGAGACAGGGTTTCTCTGTGTAGCTTTGCGCCTTTCCTGGAACTCACTTGGTAGCCCAGGCTGGCCTCGAACTCACAAAGATCCGCCTGCCTCTGCCTCCCGAGTGCTGGGATTAAAGGCGTGCGCCACCAACGCCCGGCCCCACTTACTCTTATTAGAAAGGTGCTACAATTGATTATTAATGTCTACCACAGGGTAAGAAAGAGCCAGGGAGGCACCATTAGCCTGCTTGGGGTTGTGCCACTCCTAGTCCAAAGGAAAGGATGCAAGAAGGTCTGTTTAGGTCTTCAGCTTCCAAGAACTCTCCTAGCCCAAAGAAGTCCAGACAGCTCTATGCATTCTAATGAGATTCCGTAGGGCTATCCAATCCAGAGCAGTGTGTTCAGCAACCTGGAGGGCTTCCTCTCCACGTGTCCCAGTGCAGTAGCTCTGGAAAGCTTATCAAGGGGATGAGAGAGACCTCCCGACCATCTTCTCGTGAGCATGGGCTAAAGGACAAGGACCAAACTGTCACCCTCAGCTGAGTGTGAAGTTAGGCACACCTGAAAGGTAGGAATATATTATTCAAATCGAAGAGGCAGATGACAGGCTCGGAGCATGTTGGAACATTAAGCTGACGGGCAAGTCATAGAGCTGATGTCTGGCTACCGAACAACACAGTCCATGCAGTAAGTGATGTTAGGAC